GATCAATCTGACTGGCTCAATGCTCACGTGGACAGTAGCGCTGACGCCTGCGCGTTTTGTCTGATTGACTGTTAAGTGCAGGTCATGCTTAGCCATAAATAAGCTCGCAGAAATGATAAGTAGTCAGGCTCTCCATGAGTATCGCCCCCGTACATATGTCATCGCTCTGTGTGCTGGCATACGGCGACAGTACTTGGGACGCGGCGACACGCGAGATGCACCATTCCCACGCCACATTATATAATGGTGGCCTAAAAAGGTATTCAACGCCTACGCAACTCGCGGATCAATGGCACGGCAAAAAGCTCGGATCTTCGCATTCTCCTAGCTTCAATAATTTGATGCCCATTGGCTGGATTGAACAACCGACCTCACCATTGCGTTGGGCTCAGTGCTGGCGCGCTCTACCACTGAGCTAAACGGGCGTTGTAGAATTGTAAAAACGAAACGAAACGTCCCAGCACTCGAGAATTTCGAACTTGTCCTCGCAGCGCATCTCACGGATTGTCGAGCATGTTCGGTGATCACGGAACTATCATTAGCAATGAAAAACAATCGCCAGTATCGACGGGAGATCTGATCCATGAAAAATGAAACAAGAGAAATATGGCACACGGTGAGGGACCCATGAACCCACGCTCGTCCACGCACTTTCATCTCGGTTTCAATCTATCGCAATCTTCTCAAATTCATTCATATCCGCTGTTTGCGCGTAATCAATGCGTATTCGATTTCTCAGAGATGAGCTACACTACTGTAATCAAGCTAACTGGTACACAATCAGACTAGCGAAACACGGCACAGGGGTGGGGGAGAGGGGGTGGCGACCGAAGCGCGCGCGAGAAAGGTGAAAATACAGATCGGAGAACAAAGAACGAGCAGACGCAATAACAACAGACTTGTATACAAGAACGGAAATCCAGGGGAAGATGTGAACGGGGAGGGGGCATGTAGGGGGATCGCAGAAGAGAAAAAGAGGCTCACCCGCAGCTCGCCACCGCGGGTGGACGAGCCGACGTGCAACCTCGCGAGCGCAGCACGAACGTCAGTCCGACTTTCTCCCGATCCAAGTCTCCGAGAACCGAGTCGTCACGCAAACGACGGCGAACGGCATCATCGATGGCCATTACAGCATCCGCACAGGACAGCTGGGGCGCGGACACCACGAGGACAACACCCTGTGGCCCACCACGACGGTGGCCACCGAGCGGTCTTGTTTTAACCCTTCGTGTCCACACCCACTCGACTTGATGTTTTGATTTCTGCTGCTGGTGCAAGCGTCGAGCGGGGCTGCGACGGGTCCGCGCGCAGACGTTTGGCGTCACCGTTCCCAGCTTGGCCACAGCGCCCACCCTCGGGGTCGTCCAGCTCCTCAGATGATCGCTTCCGGAGCCGTGTAGGCGCAGGACATAGCTCGACTGCCGCAGGCGAGTACTTCGGTGAGTAGTCGCTGTCTGTCCTCGCGCGTTTTGGCGGTGATGCCGTCCTTGGGAACTCAATTGCCTCTCCATCGGATGCCACAGCGTCGCTATACGCATCCGCGTCCAGCTCTTCTGACGACCTCTTTCGCGACGATTTTGTAGGCGTGGCCACCGGGACCTCAGGTACGTCCGCGACAGAGTCGGGTACGGAGGTATCATCCCCCCTCTCCGACTCCCCGCTCTCCTCTTCCTCCTCAACCGGGAGCGGGACAGGCGCCTCTTGGATTTTGATCTGCACTGGCGGCTGAGGTACCGCCACCTGCGGGGCTGGCCGTTGTGGCTGCACCTGCGACAGCAGGATGTTGCCGGCCGCGATGTTCGCCTTCAGGACCGCGCGCTCGCAGACCGAGCAGCGACACTGGTAGAGTGGCGCGCATGCCTCTCGCCATACCTGCGGCACATGTTGGTCAGATTAGGACATGCAGACTCAAAAGCGCCAGTCTCACCTGAGTAAAGGCGTCCAAGCCGTATTGAGGCATTTGCGAAAGCGCGACGGGGATGTAAGGTATTGGATGGATCAACTCCGGCGACTTCAAGACTGGCGAGACCGCTATCGACAGCGTGGGAGCAACACTCGTCGTGGGCGACACGACCGTCTCATCCTCCTTGGCCTCGCCGCTGGGCGGCGGCGACGGCGTCGTCTGGAGGGTCGTCGTCGACAAAACCGGACTCGTCGTATGCGAGCCCTCGCTCCTCGAGGATGACGACGACTCGTCCTCATCCTTCTCCTTCCCCTTGCCCCTCTTACGCTCGCGCTGCCTCTTGCGCTCCAGTTCGCGCTCATTCGCCCGGCGCTCGAGCCAATCTATCCCGTTGAACCACGTGCTCTCGTGGTGCAGCTCCCGGAGCACTTCCTCTGTCGTCATCCGCGATGCCCTGATCGTCGGGTCCGCGCCGTCCGCGCTGCACTCGATCGCGATCCGCCGCACAATATTGCGCATCGCCGGCAGGAGGATGTCGTGCATCTGCTTGATGTACGCGCGGTAGGTGTGCTCGCAGAGCTGATACGTCGGCGGCGGCGGCGCGCCCACCGTTCTCGGCCGCGGGTGGTCGAGCTCCGCACCGTCGCCCTCCGTCTCGCCGTCGTCCACTGCGCCAGAATACGTCGCGCCGCGGTTCCACGGGCACGGGTGCACCGAAGGGACGAGCGGCCGGGAGGTGTTCGCGAAGCCGTACCACTGGTCTGCGGGGCTGACCCAGTACCCGTCCAGGATCCTGTTGCGTGCCCAATCTTGAATGGCGAGCTCCTTCACGCCGCCCGCATCCTCCGTCATGCTCAGCACCTCGGGGTCTTCTTCATCTTCCTCTTCGCTCAGCTCTTCATCGGTGCCGTACCCTTCACCTGCCTCTGCACGCGAATACCGGCTCGACGCGAGTGCCTGCTGCAGCAACTCCGGCAACTTCGTTTGTGACCGGAGCCAGTGCTTCTCCCGCGCGGTGACGATCACGTCCGCGATCGTCCCCTCGCCGAGGTCAAGGAATGCATCCACGCCCTGCCTTGTCTCCCAATCCTTGCTTTGCCATTTGGGCCCGCCTAACGCCTCGCGGTCGACCGGGTTGTGCTGCACCCGCGTCCATAGCCATTCTTGCCGGCAGAGCCGACATGTCGCTTCTACGCCCGGCCAGGTCTCCTCGTCTTCGTTCTCCGCGCAGCAAACAATGCCACCCTCGCCCTCGAGCTCTGCCTGTGGTGCCGCGCGCATACATACACCACAGTATGTTGCTTTGCGGTGCTCCCGGCACGTCACGACGTTCCCGAGCCATGGCGTCGGGACGAGCCGCTTGCCGTGCGCGAGGCCCGTGCTCGAATACGGCGCGTTGATCCGGCATACGATGCACGAGCAGTTCGTGATGTTGCGGAAGTGCTGGTAAGGCGACAGCTTGACCATCTGCGCGTTCGTCGATCCCGCGGTCGCGCTCGGCTTGATGAATGCTGTGTGCGCCATGAAGTCGTTCGGGTCAATTACGGCGCACGCCTGTTGCCAGAACAGGTGGTCTTCGACTGTAAGTAGCGGAGAGGGATGATCAGCGTCTGTATGAACGATCGCGAATGCAGGGGAGAACACAAGTAGAAAATGGGACGTAAACACAAGTGCACAAAGGGAAGAGCAGGATAAAAAAGCACCATCGGGGCAACCACATCATCCAAGAACAAGAGGCACGACCGCATGCTATGTTGCCTGCGTAGCAACACGGAACAAAAACAACCGCTCCAGGCACTCCCACGCGCGCTCCCACGTCAGCGCTTCGCGGAGGATGTACCTGCCAACCACAGCGGAGGCAATCACCCAGCAGAGCATAGGCTGCTGTCAATGGGCCATGCTTAGGTCACCTGTTGCCTTCCTCCGCAAGAGCATAGGCCGCCAGCGCGCTGCCAGCGCCCTTCGTCCTCGGCCGCCCGCGACGTCTGCGCCAATCGTGTGCAGCGCATGTAACAGCTGGGGTATTCCCAAGCCGGGTCAACCATATGTCATGCGTGCATCTGCATCCGGCAGTGTTCTCACTACAAGCGGGTTGATCGCTGTAGCCGCGCTGGCTTCGCACAGAATTGGAGAAGCCGGCAACCGGACAGACGAGTCAATCCGAGGAGCATGATGAGAAGCGTCGTGGCGTGAGCCGGCAAACTGGCCGACGCGTCTGTGACGAGCTATGACGCCAGTATCAAGTGCGAAAGAAATCGTGGAACATATGATCGCAGACACGACCAGCAGACCTGACGTGGAGTACCCACACGCTGGTGGACGATCCTCGAGTGGGATCCACAGCTGTATCGGCTCCACGCGACCCTTACCCTCGTCTCGTACAACTCGGTGAGAGCAAACATAAGAGAGCTGCAAACCCGAGTATCCACCACGAGCGAGATGCACAAATCGAGAGGGACAAGTTACAACGAATCAGTAGACCACAAATCAGTGGAGGATGCCATATCCAAGCACACGTGCATCCATTGCCAGGCGACCGGCGACGAGCGCCAGCCACACTCTGATTGTCTGCGTCCACAGTTGGACCACGAACACATTTATCGGGCGGGAAAGGCTGGAGACATCTGCAATGGATGACTGCTGGAATGAGGCGCCATGTCCAGAAGCCACACTTCATCAACAATAGCGCCCGTCACAACAGACTACCCAAGGTCGTTGATGCCTTGCCGTGTCTATCCCGACCACACTGTACAGCCGGATAGCACGGACTGCATATAGTATCCATAAAAAGAGGTCCGCAGCGACTGTCAGCCAATACGGAGCCGCGAGAGCGGGCGCCTCACTTGGACGCCACACCCTGTCGATAGTGGTCGCCACAGTCGACCTCTAGCAAATTGGACCCCGCAAATGGATCTCGAGTGCAAAAATCAAAAGAAATGCAACAGAAAATCTCAATGTGAGGAGAGATCTGGAGAAGTTAGGACAATGCGAAGACCAACAGGCCGGTGCCACAGCGCCCACATGGACGAACTGACGACGCCTAGCCAGTGTCGATCTCGCCGAGCGCACTCTCAACGCTCGCGGAATGAAACAGGAACAATGAATGAAGAGCAAAGGGGTGATCGAGCGAGTCAAAGTGAAGGTGACGACGGTGAAATAGCCGGTGGCTGAATGAGACAAGAGCGCGACTTACGAGCTGCGGCCCATGCGGGGCATATGTACATCAGTCTCTCGACCTCCTGTGCGTCGCGGACGGTTGTGTAGACGAGCCGTGACGGCCACGCTTCGCGATACTCCCAGCCAGCAGGGCAGAAGTTGCTCATCGACGCGTCGAGGATGCAGTAGGTGGTGATGAGCCTGGTGTGGCTGCTTAGTTCCTGCGGACGATCACAGCCAGGAGCACGCGAACCTGATAATTTCGGGTGGTAACTGTTGCCATGATCTTGTATCCTTGCCTTTGAATATCGTCGTTGGCATCGAGCTCACTGTGGCGCGCGGCGAGGACAGTGCCATAGTGGACAT